ACATGGCATCATCGCATCCCATGATTGAAGTTGTGGTAAGCATGTCAGTGGTGCTCGTGATGATATGTGATCACCTGTGATGAAGGTGCTTCACCTACACATCAACTCTCCCCCGTTTCGCCCACCAGTTGCTCGTTATGATATGTAATCTGTCTGCCTGCCTTTGCCCCCTCCTCTTCGCACCTTCACGTCCATCCACACCACCCCTCCCCCGTCTCTTCATTTTCCCTTCCAGCATCATCCTGCATCCCGCGTGTCAGTCAACTGAGCCCCACCCGAGCGCACGCTTAGTGCCGCCGGTGGTTGCTACCCTTTCTCACCCAGTCCGCACGCACCCGTCCCCCCTCTCACCCAGTCCGCATGCACCCGTCCCCCCTCTCACCCAGTCCGCACGCACCCGTCCCCCCTCTCACCCAGTCCGCACGCACCCGTCCCCCCTCTCACCCAGTCCGCACGCACCCGTCCCCCCTCTCACCCAGTCCGCACGCACCCGTCCCCCCTCTCACCCAGTCCGCACGCACCCGTCCCCCCTCTCACCCAGTCCGCACGCACCCGTCCCCCCTCTCACCCAGTCCGCACGCACCCGTCCCCCCTCTCACCCAGTCCGCACGCACCCGTCCCCCCTCTCACCCAGTCCGCACGCACCCGTCCCCCCTCTCACCCAGTCCGCACGCACCCGTCCCCCCTCTCACCCAGTCCGCACGCACCCGTCCCCCCTCTCACCCAGTCCGCACGCACCCGTCCCCCCTCTCACCCAGTCCGCACGCAGATGGGACTGCTTCTAGCGCTGATGCAGACGCATACGGGCAGTGTGACTCGGGGCATGCTTGAGGAAGATCTGGGGGAAGAGAATGAGGGAGAGGAGGGCGGGGAGGGTGGGCGGGGAGGTGGCGGCTGAGATTCATGAGGTGTGGGTGAGAGCTTGAATAAGGTTACACAGGAGGTTGACTCGTGGTCAACTATCATGTCTGAAGCAGGCTCTGTGAGGACTGTGAAGCGGGCGGGAGGAGCGAACGGCAGTAGCGGCTGCTTGCAGGCATCATCATCCCAGCAGCGCCTCGCTGCTGCAAGCGGCGCGGGCGTTTGGAACCCCGCGTGTCGCTAAGGCTTTCCCAACTCTTTGAGCCAGCGGAACATGGGGAGGCGAGGCGTCGCTGCAGCCACGAGGTAGCCAGAGCTCCAAATCCAGTCGGAGAGGTCAAGGGATGTTGGCGAAAGGGGAGATATACGGGTGGGGTGAGGGAAGTGAAGTGAAGTGGCAAACAATGGAGGGATCGGGCGTGAGGGATATTGCTGTGCTGTTGTCGCAGCAGCGCTTTGTAGTGAGCTATGTGCCGCCTTCCCTTCCCACTACTCAGAAGCTGTGCGGCAGCTCACTCTGCTGCTCTCGCCGCCCAACATCCCTGACGTAATGACTCCGAATCTCATCGTGCGCTTACTGCGTGTGTCGTGCCATGATCTATTTTACAGAAGATACAGACAACAGATCCGACCTCCCCACAGGGATTGCGGGGTCCGTGCTTGTCCATCCCGGCTGTAAGCCCCTGGTAGCCAACATCACTCACTTTCTACGTGCTGCAGCTGATACTGTGCCGCTGCCACGGCCACACCCTCGACTGCTGCTGCGGCTGGGGTGAGAAGCAGCAGGTGCAGGTGGCAGTAGCAGGTGGGAGTGGGGCTGCTGGTGCTGCTGCCAAAGGAGAAGGCGAGTGCGATGGGCAAGTGGGAGATGTTTGAGGCGTCGCTGCCTGTTCACTATTCAAAGTCGTCCCTAGACGCACAGGGCGTGAGTGTGGCGCCGGCTGCTGGGCCAGAGGGCGGAGGGCCGGTGTTAACCCCGTACCGTGCAGGTACGCAGACCTGGGTGTGGCAGAGTGCGCTGTGCGCCTCGTGAGTCACAGCAACCAGTGGGTGTAGGCTGAAGCGGTGAAGCGCGCGATTGCGCTCACAGTCGAAGGCAACGGCAAGGTGCAGGATTCGATGTATGCCGTGCTCTGGGAAGACGGGCAGCTGTTCTTTACACTGCAGAAGGTGCTTGCTGCTGCGTCTGCCTGCCACCATCAAGTTAGGTTCTGCGCAAGGGGTTGGACAAGCAGGAGGCACACGCCTAGAAGGAAGGTGCCATGCTGGGAAGCGGCAGATGCAGGGGGAGAGGGGCTTAGGGAGGAGAGGGAGGGGGCTTGGAGTAAGAGTGCTCATGGCAGTGTGAATGTGGTTTTTCGCGGAGGTTCACAAGCTTAAGTCACTCCAGCTGAAAGCTCCAGCACTGCTTCAGATGACTACGGGCCAACTGGTGCTCTCACGGTCTCTGCTGCTCCTGCTGGCAAGGGCACACTGACCGGCAGGGGCGGGTCTGGCCCCGCCAGTGCAGGTGACGGCAAGGGCGAGTGTCGTCTGTCCATGTTCTTCATGGACAGACGAGTTGAGTCAAGACTTCATGGTCACCCGCAAGCTGCCCCGCTCCGCTTCCTCCACTCTGCCCTTCCCCATGCCTCGCATCCGCGCGTCCATGGACGCTCATGTCATGTCAAGGCCAGGCGGCAAGTGGAGGGGGTGCAAGGAGCGGAGAGGGAGGAGGCGGGCTGGTGGGAGACATACGAGGGCAGAGCGAGGGAGCAAGAACCGTGGATGTGAGACTGTGATTGTGTGGGATTAGAAGCAGGTTGCTCATGTCATGCTGGACGTTTGAGGCTCTTCGGCTCCTTGTGAAGAATGAAGATGTGCAGGCTGATGCCGTGTCTGAAGGTATGTTCAAGCCATAGGGTGCTTTCTGACAAACCACCATGGGTTTGCTTGATCACTTGCATCCTCCCCCTCTTCCCACCACTGTGTGTACTTTACAATGTTGTATGCGCGTCTGAAAATGGATGTCTTGCACTGAAATGTCATGTCCCTCGGCAGCATACGTATTGCTTTGCTTCAATGCAGGACTGCCACATTCATGAGGCACCCCTCCCATCGACCTTCCTCCGCCCATCCTGCAATCACCAAGGCTTGGAAAACATTCTTTCTGGCATGCATGGATCTGAACCTTCTTGCCCCATTTTCTCCGCTATGTGCTTTCCCCTTCTCCCCTTCCTGCATGCCCTTTCTCATCTCTCTTGTTGTCCGTCCCCTTCCTTAGGGTCCCTTCGTTCTGCAGTCCTTTGTCATTAGATCCTTTTCTTCAATCTTTCACAGCCTCCAATTCAACCCCCTCCTTCTACTCCCCCTATCCCTCCTGTCCCAAACCCTCCTTCTCCCCCTCTGCCTTCCTCCTCCTCCCCTCCCAATCCCGTCTTGTCTCGCCTTGGCACATGATCTACCTGTAACAACGGAAGGGGTTTTACGTTTTCAGGTCCTTTTGCTTGTTATAATACCTCACATTCCAAAAATCATTGCCTTTCACTTTCTCCTCCCTGCTATCCATTGCCTTATGTATCCCCTGTGTATCCTTTCTTTTCTTCCTTCAGCTCTTCCTCCTCCGCGTTTTCTCTTTACAAATACTAAACTTCCCACCAACCCCATGCTTTCTGTTTTCTGATACCCATCCTTGCCTTCTTCACTACTCCTACTCGTTGCCCAACAAACCTACACCACCTGTTTTTCAGACCATATACCACCTCCTTCCACACCACCTTGTGTCTCCTTGCCCCCCCTCTCTCCTCCCTCCCTCTTCCTTCCCCCCTTCCCTCCCCACCCCTTCCTCCCCCCCTCCCTCCCTCCCGCTCTTTCTCCCTCCCCTTCAACCCCCTCCCTTCCCTCCTCCCCTCTCCCTCTCCCTCCCCTCTCCCTTCCCAGCCCCCCTTTCCCTCTCCTTCCCCCCCTATTCCTTCCCCCACCTTCTCTCCCCCCTTCCCTCTCCCCCATCCTTCCCTCACCCCTCACCCCCTCCCTTCCCCCCACCCCACACCCCCTCTTCCCCCCCCCACCCCCTCCTTTCCCCACTCACCTTCCCTCCCCCTCCCCTTTCCCTCCTCCCACCCCCCCGCCTCCCTCCCCCTCGAACTCTCCATTCAGTGACACTGGCTCTTCTTCATCTCATTCACTTGGATTGATCAGGCAGTCGGGACAGCTGTGCACACAGACCTCATCCCATAACGCATATTTGGATTACATCCCATTGATTAACGCATGCCTGTTCTTGTCTCATGCATTTCACTGTGTCTACTGCAGGTACTTGGTCCCTGCCGTATCGATAGCCATCTTTGGTAAAACAAATTAATCTGTCATAGAAAGCTGTGCCAACACACTAAGGTATTTCACTGAGGTCACAGCTCTCCACTAAACAGTGGAAAGCTGCCTTGCAGACCTCAGTGGTGAAGAGGGTCCATTGTCTGCAAAGCAGGTCTTCAACTCCTGCATGCCGCTTGAAACCGTTTTTATCAACAGGAGCATGCATCACATGTGCCCTTTTCCCATGCATACACAGGCCCACTACCGTACTTTATGCGTTATCTCTGCCCTCCGTCCCATGCCATGCCACTCACTCCAGCCAAAATAATGCTTTCATTTTGTCCTCTACCCTCCGCATGTCCTCTTGTCCTCTCCAGCAAGTCACTGTCTCTTGTGTTATCGCCTTGTATTAGGGATTAGGTAGAGATATGTGGCCTTGAATAATACACTGTTGTGCCTACTCTATCTTCTTGAGTGTTAGGAAGTACGGTTTTAAGTTATTGCTTGATGCTGCAGCTCGTCCTACAAATATGTTGGGTTTATTTTCTTGAAGCATGGTCAATCATGTATAAGTACCTGGTAAGGTGAACAGGATTTAAAATAGTAATGTCCAAGCTCTACAATAGAATCTTCCAAGCTCTACACATGATGCCTTCAGCATCCGTTTTCCCACTCACACATCTACTCTATGCGAAGGGCAGCAAGAAATGAATAGCATGCACTCGATTAAACTGCAAGCTACAAGCTCCACCCACATGACCACTCCCCTGTTTGCTGCAATGCCTCACTCCTTTGCATGCGTCCATCCCCTCATTCTTCACACCCCCATGCTTCCACACCTCTCCTCAATCTCGCCTGCAGTCATAGTTTACTCTCCACCAGCCACTCGACCTGCCTATCCGCCTGCATGTATCATCATCAAAAAGGATCCCCCCTTCTGGCGGATAGAGAATCCTCAACTGGGTCAGGGCAGTCAGCTGCTTCACTCCATCATCCGTGACAGCCGTGAAATCTATACCAAGGTCCTTAAGCCATGTCAACTTCCCCACATGCACCATGCCAGCATCTGTCACACACTCGCATCCAGAAAGCCACAGCAGCTCGAGACCGTCCAAGGACCCAATGCCTTCCAAGGCACTGTCTGAGACGTCTGTGCCTCTGAGGTCTAGCATCCTCAGCCAAGGCAGCCTGTAGAGGTGCTTGATGCCCTCTGCACTAAAGCCTGAACTGTCCTCCAAGCTAACTTTCGCAAGATGCAACATTGTGGACACATGGCCAAGGATGTCGTCTGAAAGGCTGTGAAGATTCGCCAGACTCAAGTCAGTTGCGCGTGATGCTGACTTAATTCGCTGGAGTGATAGATGAAGAGGGAAGTTGAGAAAGAAAGGAATGACAACATGCCAATCGTAAACAGTGCACCATGCATGACCTTTGAAAAAGCTTACTCAACACTCACCTCCCATGCAGTCTTTCGATCGCCTGTACAATGCCCAATTTCCACCTCAATATTCAGCCTCAAAACCAACTCGTTCGCCCACATCCAGTTGCTCTGCCACAGACCCCTTCGCTCCTGCCAACTCTGTTTCCGTCTCCTCCACCACAGCAGCAGTCGCCACAACAACGCTCCTCTCCTCCAGCATCAAAACGCGCTCTTTCTGTCGTGCCACCTCCTCCCTAACCACGGCCAGCTCTCCCTTCACTGCTGCCAACTCGCCTCGCACCAATCCGAGCAGTCCTTTCGTTGCTTCAGTTATCGCATTTGACTCCTTCTCAACAGCCATAACTGTAGCGTGAGATCAGCCTCCTCCTTTTTTGCTGCGAAGGTTGCATGGAGGTAAGCAACAAAAGAAAAAAGGAAAGAGACACACAAGGAGGAAGGAGCAGGAAGGTGTGCCTGCCATCCATTCCAAGGAGACATGAGCCAACCGCACTCCCCTCATATTGTCCAAGATGACGCCTCGCCTTGTCTAATTACTGGACTGAGGCATACTCGAATTATGTGTATAGGTATTGCTCGTCGATTAAAAACACACTTGTTGCTTTCAGGCAAAAAGACGAGGGATGGCAGTCGTGGGGAGGGGGAGCGGCAGGAGGAGGGAGTAGGAGCAGTAGGAGGGGAAAGGGGGAACAGGAGCAGGACTGGAAAAAGGAGGGGTCACCAGCAAGGAGCAGAAGGGAGGGGAGCACGAGGTAGCGGGGGATCAGGAACAAGGGGGGAGAGGGGAGGGGAGCAGAAGGGGGAAAGCGCAGGAGAGTGGAGCAACATGTGAGGTAGGAGAGGGGAACAGGGAGCCGCAGGACACGAAGAGACTAAGTACCACGAGAGAGAAATGGGTGGGAAAGAAGAATTGGAACGAGAGTTTATAGAGTGGAGGGGATGGAATATAGCTACAAATTTGACTTCTCTGGAAAGGATAAAAAATAGTGTAAACTGGGCAAGGGGAGAAAACAGTATGCAGCAGAAGGTAAAGGATTGAATACACAAGACAGACCACAAAGCTCAAAACATTTTCTTCGTATAGAACGGCATAATTCCCTGTCATAATTCTGCGCATCCCTACTCTATCCATCCCTACTCTCCCCGTCCCTACTCTCCTCGTCCCTATTCGCCCCGTCCCTACGCTCTCTGTCCCTACTTTCCCCGTCCTTATTCTCCGCATCCCTTCTATCCATCCCTACTCTCCCCGTCCCTACTCTCCCCGTCCCTACTCTCCCCGTCCCTACTCTCCACAACATTTCTCTCCCTGTACCCACTCTCCCCGTCCCTATTCTCGTCCCTATTCTCCCCGTCCCTACGCTCTCTGTCCCTACTCTCCCCGTCCCTACACTCCCCATCCCTACTCTCGTCGTGCATACTTCCATCGTCCCTATTTCCGCCTGCCTATTTCCCATCCCTATTTCCGCCTGCCTATTTCCCATCCCTATTTCCGCCTGCCTATTTCCCATCCCTATTTCCGCCTGCCTATTTCCCATCCCTATTTCCGCCTGCCTATTTCCCGTACCACCTCGGATCACGCCGTGCCACCGTCCCACACGCGGGGGCCTACGGTGCTCCAACGCGTCCCGGCGCATCCCTCTACCAGTGGCGGCGGCTGCCAACGGCGCTTGCGCGTGAATGCGCGCATCTCGTCCACCGCGCACCTGCCGCTTTAGTTCCGCCCACGCGGCTGCAGGCGCGTCTGGCGGAAGGGCGGTGGGCGGACACCAGGCGAGGCGAGCAACACCGACGTGCACCGCGCGACGTCGCTGCCACCGTGACTGGACCAGCGCGCACCAACCATGCTTCCCAACGAAACTAGCCCTAGTCTATCGTAACTACAAACTCGTCCACCGCGCACCTGGCGCTTCAGTGCCCTAGTCTACCGTAACCCTAACCAAGTCGCTGGTTCTTCATGTCGTTTGCGATCTGCTGCTGTGCTTACCATCAGCATAAATGTCGCTCTCGCTAGGAGCGGGCTTACGATTGAACTAACCGTGCGAGGAATTAGCGAGTACTGAGAGTAATTTCAGACTGAGTGACAGTACAAAGAAAATGAGCGGATGATATAGCGGACAACCTAGTTAGACGAGGACCACGGGCAAACGAGGCTCGGTAGTGTGGCGAAATGTTCGGGGGCGACTCGATGGTGGTTTGGCGCGGTTTGTAGGCCGAACCAGCTGACGCGAACACCTCGGAACAGTACGCGCTAAAGTTCGAACTACAATAATGCTTTGTAGTTCCTTATAGTTTCTTTGTGCATTCATGCCAAGTTTCTACTCAACAGATATGGTGCAGTAAAGTTGCTAATTCTTTGTTGCAATACAATAGTGCACAACAGTTGTTTGATAGAATTAATTCAATTCATTTCCAACTAATCACCCACGATACTATTAACTTGATTTGCGCGACTCACATTTATTCTGCCCCGTCATTCAAGAGGTGGAAGGCAATTCTAGAGTTATATGAAAAAATGTTATCATAGAATGTGATCACAACGGTTTGCAACTCTCACGGTGTACTCACATCCCGCCTATAGGTAAGCACCATCGGCCTCACCACGCACACATTGTACTCTACGACCACCACATCAAGCTCCTCACCTTCACACTTATGCTTTCACTGCCTCCAGCCCACGTGAAACACAGCCGCCGGACCTGTGGAAACGCACGAGTTCCCGCGTGACGAGGCCTGCAGGCCCTGAAGCAGAATCAAGCGCATGTGAAGTGGCAATAATGAGAACACGTAAAACTCAAGCCACACTCAACGCGAACACTGGTCATGCTCCTTGCCCCCGCACGCTCGCACTTCCCCTGCTCACCCCGTGAAAGCGGCGTTGCTGATGCTTCCCAGGTTCTTGCGTAGCTCAGAATGACCGCTTTGGTGAACCGCGTTGACCCTTTCTGTCACACGCATCATCCCCTGCTGTCACACGCATCATCCCCTGCTGTCACACGCATCACCTCCTGCTGCCACTGCCACCTCCTCTCCTCCACCACCTCCCTCTGATATCTCTCCTCCTCGTCTCTCTTCGCCCTCCTCCCCTCCTTTGCCTCCAACTGCTTCCCCTTCTGCTCTTGTCCGCCCTGCCACCCCCTCCCATACGGCTTACCCTCAGAAAACCCTCGAATCTATGTTCTCCACCCTCGTCCTCCTTCCTTTGCAGAGAGTTCTCACATATCATGACATCGCAGCTCCTCGGCTCCGTATCTTTGCTTTCCTGCTCTCACAGCCAGTACGGGCTGAGCTGTCGCTGTGAAAAGGTTAGTGAGTGGGGGAGAGGGCAGAGAGGGTAGTACGGGCATACTGCAAAGAGATTGGAAGCGAGTTTAAGGTTTTGCATCATCGCTGAGATTCATGTTTCCATCAGAAAACGAGCGCCAGAAGGGCCATAGCGGGAGCAAGGAGAGAAGAGCGGTAGAGAAATATGGAAGAAGCGAGATAGTGTGAGCAGGTGATGATGCCATGTGTTCGCACCTCAGTTTTTTTAAATGGAGATAAAGGCCCTACTGATCATCATCACGCAATGGGTTAACACCACTTACACAAGGTCATACCATAGCTGCTAGCTACCTGGCCCTTCGCCCCCATGCCTCCCTGCTCACCTGTGTGCATCCACTTCTCGCATGAATGTACTCTCGTGCCTCTGCTGCCTGCCAGGCTGTGTGTTGCAGTGAGCTGCGCTGCTCGCCACTAGGACAAGACAGGTACTGCGAGTGTGGGTAATTTGGGGGGCAATTGCATACAGGGGGAAATTTGGGGGAAGAGCGCACAATAGCTGCTGGTGGTCTTGCATGCGTGGAAGTAGCGCTGAGATTTGTCGGTGCATATTGGAGTGGCGGTTCTGGTACTAGGGTGCTAACAAAGCAGAATGAAGATAGCGGTGGTGGTGATAGAGAAGGGTGAGTACCATTTAAGTCATTGTCGAGGTGCCTTTCAACCTGCTGCTTGGCTTCTCTCACCTCAGCATTGGCACCATCCTTGCCCTGCTGCTGTTCACTTGGAAAGCATCAGCTGCGAAGGCGGCTGCATCAGTTTCTCATGCTTCCACGATGCTGCCATGTGCGACGTCAGCCAAACTTCACTCTCATATAACGCTCCTCGCCAACTCCACAGTGGAGATTTTTGCCGTGCAAGATGAGGCCTTGGCTTTCGCGATCACTACTAGCGTCAATCTTACTATCGCCACCGTCACAATCTATGCTAGGCTGATCGTTGGCCGGGATGGAGAATGACATGGGGTGAGAATGAAGCATGGGGACGGGAGGGAATAGGGAAGAGAAAGGGAAGTGAGGGGAAAGAAGGGTGTGAAAGGATGTCCTTGACAGTATCATAGTCATACTTCTTCAGCAGGTGGTCACTTGCTTCTGCCACTTCACTCTCTCTCATGATGCACGATGCTGGCGTGCCAAGAGTTTTACTGCTTGTGATTTGGAGGAGCGTGTCAACACTTGCAAGACTTAGGTAAGAGTCAAAGGTTGTGAACTGGGAAAATTATGGCATGCTGCTAGCCCCAACAAAGAGTGCTCTTGGTGCGGGAAGGAAAAGGGAGTGAGTGTGGGGTGAGGGGAGAGGGGGGGAACAGGGCGAAGGAGGTCGTGGCGATCTGCAGAGCAAGGAGGGCGGAAATGGAAGACATTGCCCAGCACATGGAAAACTTAGTGCTCAGTTCATTGAGAGAAGCCTGCTGCACCTGTCCGCATGATCCAACTCAGCTCCTCGAGTCCGCACTGCCACCACCGTCGCACTGCGACACTTCACTGAAAAGCCGAGTACCGTCCTTGAGGAAGCCATCAGTTGAGAAGGCGCCTTCCAGCCAATGGGAGCGGAGGGTGTCATAAGATGGTACTAGCGGATTGGCGGGGGCAGACCGGAGCAGGCACAAAGGAGCGTCCGCCTCACCCTTCGCCGTAACCGCTTTCCTCGAGCTGCTCCCCTCCAAATCGCCACGACCCGGCCCGTGACACTTGCACCTAAATGGCAATAGCGGTACGGCCCACCCCTTGCTGCGCAATGCCACGCGAAGCGTTGTGGTGCACATGGGGCACGCGATGATGCACTCCAATCGCGAAGTGCCTGCTCCTCCAAGTGTGAATGAACCCTGTGCAAAAGCAATCCCAACCCACTTTCCAATCTTCTCCCACTCGTACCCACCCAGTCCCACCTGCTGTGCTCCTCCTCCTCACTTGCACCCCTTGGCTCCCTCACTCCAACTCTGCTGAGGCATGTCACGCCCCGACCCATCCACACCAGCTCCCACCCAGCCCTTTTTCCGTTGTAGTGTGATGAATGGAATGGGGAAGCCATCACAGCGTGCTGCTGCTCATGCCTGCTGAGAGGGCATGGGAATTCACCCTGGCCAAGGATGCTGAATAGAAGCGCTTATTTCCAATCAGCCCACCTCCCTGTTCCGCACTCTGCCACACCCGGGAGGCTCTGCCTCCTCGCTCCCCACCTCACTCACTCAATCTCCTACCCCTTTCACTCACTCCGCTTCTCTCCCCAATCACTCCCAATCCCTGTTGCTCACTTCCCCTCTCCCCCTTCACTCACATGCTCTCTCCACTTGAATTTAGCAACAAGGCTGTCAACCGACACAGCAGAGGCATGGGGCAGAGCCGGGGGAAACAGCTGGGGGGCAGAGGCATGGGGCAGAGGCATGGGGCAGAGGGCGGGGAAACAGCTCGGGGACAGAGCCATGGGGTATAAGGCGCACAAATCGCTCCCACTCGCCACCCCTCAAACGTCCTCCCCCATGCCTGCTGGCACTCCTGCAGCACGGTCACTGTGGGAGGGACGAAAGGCAGAGGGGGAGGGTTCCGAGAGTCCTGAGCAATAGAGCAGCAAAATGTTACAATTTCCATGCTGCTGCCAAATCACTCACCTCTTGCCTCGCTCCCCTCACCTGCCGGCAAGCAAACGTCACAGCAGAGCGGACACGAATAGAGCGACCAGAACAGACCAGATCCGAGCAGAGCCGAAAAGACAATAAGGCCGGACCACCAGGCCATGACGCGGCCACTTTTGACCCATGACGCTGGGCTTTCCTAGCGTCAAAGCCAACTAAGGCGGCCACACGCCAACACACAGCATGACTATACACGCCTAAACCCTGGTCACCTGCAATGTGTTGGCGTGTGTTGGCGTTTGACGTTTTGCGCATGCAAGCTAGTGATATCATGGTCTACCCTCGGAGCGACTCGTTAAAGGGCAGCACTGCTTTGAGGGGTGGGGCCAAACCGCCATTCGCCAATCTCTAGATGACGAATGGCGGCTCGACGTGGCGAAATGGCGGCGCGACGTGGCGAAAAGTGGCGCGACGCGGCGAAATGACGACGTGACATGACGAAACGGCTTCGTGACATGCGAAATGGGGGCGTTACATGACGAAATGGCAGAGTGACATGAGATTGGCGGCGTGACATGGGGACATCGCAGCGCGACGCGGCGAAATGACGTGACGGTGTGACTTGGCGAGTTGACAGCGTTACATTAAACGGCGGCGTGACATGGCAAAAGACACGGACCTTGGGAGGGGTACAACAGTCACACTGCAAACTGCGGCGAGACACGTCGGCAGGAAGAGCATAAGCGCGCCGAGCCGAATGCTCAAAGCACCCATCACGACAATTAAAACTGGTAGGACCGACAGTGAAGCATAGCGTCTAGCTCTTAAGCGCCTAAAAAATAGATCGACAACGCACAGCAGAGCCTACTCCTAAAGCTAAGAACGTGAAAGCCACGAATTCGGGTGGATATATTCGAATAGTATCTTTCCCGCTTGAGCAGCGGCTCTGGCAATTCAGGTCGGGAGAGAGCAGAGACCTGCCGAGGCGAGTTGCTTACCATCCAGTTTTGCGCGGTAGGAGCAAACTTTGAAGGGTTACTGACTTCGCAAACAACACTCAAGAGTTTCGCTGTTCGCAAAAAACAGGTCCAAAACTCCAATGCCTCGAACACAACGGCCCCTTCGAAGCACAAGGCTGGGAGCGCTTTGTCTGTGCCGAAAACAAAGGGTGTACGTCTGGCACGCCAGGTTCGGAGCCGAGACGTTCATGCGTTGAGTTTTCCAGAGGCGAGAACAAAGGGGTTACCAGATTCGTGGCGACAACATGGCGGGCATCAGGCTCGGCAGAGTTGCCGAACCCGAAGCTGGCTCGTGTTTAATCCGTAACTCTCGAATCCGCCTTCCCCAAACCTCGCCAACCGAAGTTTTCGCCTAAGCAGGTTGTCCCCGTCTATAAAGCGAGCCATAATGCGTTGGGTTAGGAAGCGAGGTGACAACAAAGGGGTTACCGGATTCGTGGCGACAACATGGCGGGCATCAGGCTCGGCAGAGTTGCCAAACCCGAAGCTGACTCGTGTCGCAACCGAATCTTTCGATTCCGCCTTTCCGCAAACCTCACCAACCGAAGTTTCCGCCTAGCCAGGTTGTCCTCGTCTAAGAAGTTAGCCGCGCATTGTATAAAGAGGCTTTTGAAATCACATTCTCAGCTGACTTGTCGCAAGGTGAGTAGGTTGTCGCAATCAAACCAGGCACTTGAGTCGGCCAACATACGTTCAGAAACGGAATTTTGCGTATTTGAGATCCATCTTTCAACTAACTCAAGTTTATCACGCCAAACCATCCGACTTATCGTTTGCCTTAGTGCAAAGTGATCCACCTTAGATCATCTTGCCCTCAGTCGAAGCAACTCACTCCGGGTCTACTCACCTTAGTGCTGCCAAGGGATCCGTTTCAGCTCATAGTTATTTTTTACTGAAAATTCATATCTCCGGAATTTCCCACAGGGCCGACGCTACCTGACATTTGACTCTCGACTCAAAGTTGACCTAATGACTCACCCTGTGCTGTGCACATGTCTAGGGTGCCACGAGGTAGGTCGGCCACAATGACTGAATACGTCAGTCAGACAGGCTAGGTCAGACAGGCTATGCTAGATAAGCTAGTTCAGACAGGCTAGGCCAGACAAGCTAGGTCACACAGGCTAGGTCAAACATGCTAGGTCAGACGGGTTAGGGTAGACGAGCTAGGTCAGACAAGCTATGTCAGACAAGCTAGGTCGGGTAAGCTAGGTTGGACAAGCTAGGTACATCACAGCCTCGGTTGGCTATAAGCTGGGATGGGTCACAACACAAGCAAGGTCGGTCAGAGCCAGGACGAGTGACAGCGTGAGTGTCGGTCAGGTCAGAACCAGGGCGAGGGAATGCAGCACGAATGGGCCGAGGAAGTAATGTGAGAAGGGGCAACCGTGCTCGGAAGGGCAAGCTTGCATTGCACTGTTAGCCTTGCTGTGCTCGACTCGATTCGTAACAGACTCGGTATGTGACTCAAAGATGCAGTCAGGCTCTGACACAACGACGAGCACCACGATTCGTAGGCTGAGATCCTACGAAATGCGGAGGTCCGGCCCAGGAACGATAGGGAGGCTTACCTCTATTTAGGGTTTCATATACGATCGCGTCGCGGCCCCCGATATGACTCGGCAGTGATTCAATCTGCAGTACGTGCTGGCGAGGCTTGGCGATTTCGCGAGTGATGTGAGGGAAGGAGGCTAAGAGACGGGCGGCCCAGGAAAAGACGAGAGGACACGATGCGCGCAACGAGGGAATGGCAGAATCGTTTGTAATGATTTTGTAAAAGCGATTCGAGTCACGTTTTCTCATGGTCGGAAGATGCACTCTAGCGATGAACGTCTATTTATGCTCTGGCATGGGCTGGTTGGGAACGGAGATAGGGTTCAAATCTCGAGTTTCACACATTCCATAACACGCAACCAATTGCGTTTTCTTGGAAGTTACCACTGCAAATGGACTTCTTCGCAATCGCCGTCAAGTGATCATTTCCACGAAGCGAATAGCCAAACTGGCCACCGATTTGTCGTTCTCTCTTCGTCAAAAGCACGTGCCTTGATCAAGGTACGATTTTGGCGCGACTCCAGTTTCGATCCTAGTACCCCTCCCGACTCACCTGTTACACGTTTGTAAACGTATACATTTTAAAACTTTCACGCATGACTCCCAAGTGACGACATTCACGGCATTCAGTACTTTCTTACCGCATCGTTGAATCAGGATGGTAACCCAGCATCAACTGGGGAAACCTTGGAAGGGAATTCCTTTGGCAATATACATGTATGCTGGTTTCGCAGCGTGAAGCACCTCACCAGGATCTTTAGTTGCTGCTAAATGACTATTTTTTTCACATAGCGCAAATATTTGTTTCGAACCCGCGTCGCGTAGTATTTAGTGAGTCATCCTGCTGGTATTCCTCCTCGCGCTATCTTATATAACCGTTTTTTGGGGTTGCGTAGCAACCCTATACATTCGTTTTCGCTTTTTGGTTGGCTGATGTGAACAGTGATTGTCTCATATAAAATTTGAAAGAAATCACTGTTCACATAGCTTCCCAAAAAAATGAAAACAATCGTTTCCAATCATCCATAATCGTCGATAAGTACGGCGAATGGAACAATTGGAGAATCGTTCTTGCACTAAAGATGATACTCAATGACACACGCACACAAAGGACAACACAAAAATACTACAGTACCTCCAAGAGACACACATACACAAATGACCACAAAACTGATGGTGTACAAGAACCGTTGTAAAGGGAATACTCAATGCATCAATGCAACAACTGAGACTGATATGGTAAGGAAGAGGCGAGCAAAGCTGCCTCGCCAACAATCACAATCCCAGTTGCATACACGAGACACTTAGCACCACACCCCCGAAACAAGCACAGACGATAACACATAAATAACACATAAATGATTACAAAAACAGAAGACGACGCTTAAGAATGCTTTGAAGGAAATGCTAAATGCATCAATGCTACAACTGTGATTGATATGGAACGGAAGGGGTGAGCAAAGTTGCCCCACCGACGATCACAACCCTAGTTGCATACACGAGGCACTTAGCACTATACCCCGAAACAAGCACAGACGGGTACCACTCAAACTTGTACAAAAACATAGGACAATTATTGTGATTGTGAATGCCCTGAAGCAAATGCTAAATGCATCAATGCTGCAACTGTAATTGATATGGTACGGAAGAGGCGAGCAAAGCTGCCCCACCGATGATCACAATCCCAATTGCATGCACGAGGTGTTCGAATATAACTTTATGCAGTGTAGACTGTAGTGCATGTAATCTTTTGCTGTAGGTGATGTACTTCCTTTCTTACCTATTTGTACTTGTCCCTCCATAGTGCAACTCCTTTTTTGTTTGGCCAAACTCTCTCGTCACCTCTAGCCTTGCTCTAAACCCTAAGCTATGGGTTCTAAGGATGTTCCTAATCTACTCTAGTTAACCTAGAGTTCTGACACGAGGCATTTAGCATAATACCTCGAAACAGACACGAACACCACATCCCAAAACAGACACATGCACATGTATGCAACAAACAAAATAAGAAAAAAAAAAAGCACATAAAAATTGAAGAAGAAAGAAAGAAAGAAAGAAAGAAAGAAAGAAAGAAAGAAAGAAAGAAAACGAAACACGTAACAAGTATGAGGAATAACCACAGACACAACACTATAGACACACAGACGTAACTGACACAAACACCACGCAAGCACAGTTGTTATTGTAACATGACAACACACTCATTTCTAACGGGACGTAGAATTCACGCACAATGTACTAAATAGCAAACAGGCCCTCAGATTGGTTTCAGGGCATGCTGATCGATCAGTGTGCAGTGTCCAAAGTGGTGTCCAAATCAGCGTTGTGGGTTGATCTTATGCTGATTTTTTCAGTGTGAATTTTGAAGACAAACTGATTTTACAATGTGGAGAATTTTACCACACAATGAGAGTGGTGCTACTGGTGTAGTTGTTCGTGTTATGTCTTGGGATCGCGAAGGTGTCCGGTACAATTCCCGTTGACGGAATACTTTGTTGAACACCCCTTGTACACCCATACCCTATCATGTCCAAATCAGTGTGAGTCGGTACAGTATACTGATTCGTCAGTGTTACTTGTACAGCAACACGCAAAATGGTCAGTGTGGAAATACTGGTTATACTGAAATTTCAGTGCAAAATTGAAGCATATGCTGAATTTTCAAGGAAAACAAAAATTTGAGCTACAAAATCAGCGTAATCAGCGTGTTTTACGCTAATATCTTAGCGCCTGGTAGCAAACAAACCCTATCACTATCTACAATCAAGTTTAAAGCAGTGTAAATACGCATTCCTCTTCCCATTCCGCTATCTATTTCCTCTCCCCTCCTTGTCACACGCTTTGTTTTCTTCTTTTCCTTGTGTTTTTTGTCGTCAGAGTATGAGGCAGTCGAACTTACATGCGCTGCAAAGGAAAAAAAAAAAAAAAAAAAGGTTGCTTGAGAATCCGTTAAAAAAATGTCACTAATACATTAGGTTACCCAATTTAAGGAATACGATAAATTAGTCAAACACCATATGCTGTTTGGGAAAGTAGCATGCAACACAACGGACTATTCGACAAAGAAACCAAACAACAATAAATATGTAACAATTAAGTAAAGAACTATAGCAGTAGAAAACAATAGCTTGTAACTTATTAGACCACCACGGCACTGATTGATTTTCATTGGTGTTGCCGGAACACTTGAAGGAGCAGAAGGCGCTGTTGTTGTTGCTGTTGCTGTTGCTGTTGCTGTTGCTGTTGCTGTTGCTGTTGCTGTTGCTGTTGCT